GGGAGGCACGCCGCGGCGTCCGCAGGGTCGAAGCGGCGCAGGTCGACGTTCACTCCCGCCGCGGCGGGGTCCCACCGGTCGCGGGTCCAGCGAGGCCTGCTTGACGCAAGCATGTCCTCGTGGAGCACCGCCGTCGAGTCTGGCTTGTGCCATAGGCACTCGCCTGGGTGGGACCCGCTCGCGCCGCGAGCGGCGTCGCCAGGCAGGACGCACCACTGCTGCTGCGCGCCCGAGCAGTAGAGCTGGTCCGAGAAGTGTCGGAAGGAAATTTGTCGCACCATGACTGGCGGTGATCGTCGGGGATAGGGTTGCCTTCTGTCGTCTGCCTGGGTCCGCTGAGGTGAGGCGGAGCGCACAGTTTCAGCGACTGTAGCTGCTGCTCCTACCACAAAAGCAGCTGTGAACTCACAGGCCAGCGCACAGCGCCATAGGAGGTATTTTCTTCTCAATAACAAGGCTGTGAAGTGGCTAGACAGCGGACGAGTTCGACTTGCACAGGCGGAAGAAAGCGCTCCCGCAAATATTCGCTCGTGCGTGCCGCCATCATCTGTCCAGCGTCCACCCATACCGCGTTGGTGCCCAGTCCGAGCCTGGCTGTTCTTCACCTTCCTACATACATACACACAGCATATTCATTCATTCAGAGGTCGCAGCTCAAACCACTCTTCCGGCAAGCAAGCGTCTCCTACCAACCAGTTGAAATGCAACTGATACATCCACGCGTGCATGTGCTTGTGCATGAGTGATATACTGGGTATTATATGCGCGTGATATGTGCTACTGCCTACACGCTACAGCCCTTATCCGATCCCCTCCCCGGCGCACGCAGCTTCCCCCTCCGGCATGCCCGCGGTCTGTGTGACTGTGTCCCGGTACCTACGGTACTTAACGAAAGCACTTTTTAATCGATGCCGCCCACCCGGCACCGTGCTCCGTGGGCAGACGCCAGTTCCACACGCAAGACAGCCGCATGCATCGACGGAAGCCCCTCAGTGTCATGTTTCATGTAATGGATGTATGGATGGATCATAAGACTCTCGTCGGTGCAGTTGCCCTGCACAGTGCCCCTGTGCCAACCCGGTCGTGGAAGCGATAGTCATCGCGCAACTCAACATCGACGCCCGCCAACCACACGGCCGACATTGCGTCATGTGCGGCCAGATTGTGCGAAGCGACAGCGGGCCGCCCATCAGCCTCGCGACATGCTCGGCCACATCACTCGAGTAGATGATTCCCATGCCGCTCGGATACGGTATGAATGTAAAGGGCCCCTCCTGCGTCTTGGGGAGCAAAACTTGGGCGGCATGCACAGTCAACCATCGCCACGATCGCCCGCGCGCAACCGCTGCACGTCCCTGTTGCCACAGTTGCGCACGGCCCTTCCCCAGTAGACGCATCAATCCACAATCGCGATCCGCGCACCGGCCACCGCGGCCACAGCGCACAGGGGCTCTCAGGCACGCACGCGCGCACGTCGACCTCCCGCGCCCGTGCCGCGGTTCGAATGTATGTATATGTGACGCGCGCGGTCATGGCAAAAGAACTCACACACAAGGCAACTCACAAGGGAGCTGGACCTGAAGACGGCTCACACGTCACAGTCACACGGAGCAGCGATGAGCGAAGAACGGCACACGCCAAAGCGCCACACACAATCACTCTGTCCTACCTCTAGATAGCACATCATCAGCGGTGCGTCCCGTTGTATCCGCGCAGCGAACGCCGGGCTCGTGCATCCCCCTTGCACAGGGGCACTAGCAGCCGCGGCAGTGCTGCCGCTGGACCTAGGCAGCTGGAAGAGTCTGAGCGGAAAAGGCCCACTGGCCAAAGGACGCCACGCCCTTGCCATGCACCCTACTCCGCGCCTCTGCTCGAGCGCTGCCTCTTCGCAGGCGCGTTCCCACGTGCGCCTGTGACCTCCCACGAAGGCACGGACTCCCCGATGTTTTCGGGGCTTTGAGCACGTCCACTTGTTGCACTGCTCATTGCGCCAAACATGGGCAGTAATGCCGGGAGCGTAGGCATGGGCCCTTGCGCAAAGCTGGGGGTCAAAAATAGCGGCATTGCTCCCGCAGAGCTCTGATCTAACTCGGCCTCCTGTGTCTCCGGGTCGGTCTGAAGCTCGGGTTCGGGGAGTGGAGCAGTCATCTGCACGCCGGGGCTTCGTGGGTGAGAGACGGGCTTGGCCAGCTTTGAGACAACTGCACGAACGTTGCTAGTGCAGGGGTCTAACTCTCCTCTAGGGCACGCAGCGTGAGCACCTTCACCCACGTGCAGCCCGCAATGAAGAGACCTTTCTGCGAAGAAAATGGCCGTTACGCCACTGGACTCCGCGAGATCGAGGGGAGAATCGCTTGCGCTATCACACCTGATGTTTCCCTCACATACCCCGCGCAGAAGCTCTTGGTGTGAGACGAGACTAGTTTTATATAATTGCTTGTTTTGGCTTTTGCGAGTTTTTCGCGCAGCGAGCGCATAAGCCGTGTAATTTAATGAAGGCAGCCACCCAGGCAACCAGGGAGGGTGGCTCGGCGCCACACCGAGACCGAGCCAGCCGGAGGCATCGCGGTGGGCACAGCGGGTGTGGCACAGGCTGCGCCGCACCCGTCGGCGACGCGCCCCCGCTCCGCGCCGTCGAGAGAAGCGCCCCTGAAACTCTCGCCCATAGCGGAGTGGGCCCCGACCCCCGAGTTTGAAAAGGGAGCGAGTGACGGATATTTTTAGAAAGTTATAGCTAAGCCAAAATGATTTTTGAGCTAGCCCCCCATCGGGAGGACGACCCCGGCTAGTCGCCGACCACACCCACAAGGTAAGGTAAGGTAAGGTAAACGTCTCCACACACACAAAGTGGTGGGGCAAGGGGGGGCGACCCTCGCATCTCCACGCCCGGGACACGGGCAGGAGCCCCACGGCATTCAAAGTGCAAGCACCGGCCCGGTGCCGTGGGTGAGCAACCTCGCTGCACCCCTGACTCCCTCCCTCCCAGACACAACCCGCACACAACCCCCACAGCGTGGTCGTCTACGTGTTCAGAAA